TCCCCACACCGCCCGCCGGGTCGGCCCCAGACACCGACAGACACAGCAGCAGAGCGCTACCGTGCAACCCACACTCACGCTATCCCCTTCCACTAGACAGGCTGTCAGCTTAGCCAATGAGCTTGCTGCACGCTCCTTGGAGCTTTTCGTTATCCACCACTCACAAGCGTCACCGGGATCAACGCAAGGCAACAAGGTAGATTGTGCCGCACTGGAGACAGGCAGGCAACCAGATGGAATGAAAATACGGACTGGATCTATAATAATTTGCAGTGGGATGGGGGTAGAATAGGTTACTAATAGCAAAAACTTATTGCGGCAAGAACTAGCCTTCAAAAATGCTGGAAAACTCCATAAATGAACTTTAAGGAATTTAAAAGGTTCTTAATTTAATGCTGTCAGTTTATTCTTCTACAGATACACACACGTACCACCACATGACTGAGGCTACGAAGTAGATTCTCTGTTGCATAGGTAAGCAAAAAGAATCAACTCTCCCTATTTGCTTTTTCAGATCCTACTGAGTTTGTTCTATAATATTAGGGCGGACTGTACGGCAGCAGTAGCAATCATTTTCATATTGTACACCAGATTAAAGAGAAACATGCATATGCAAGTATTTCCTTATAACATTTAGCATTAATGTAAAAGGGGATACTAATTAATGCAAACGAAACACTTCTGAGCCTTTCTCAACTTACACTTGACTGCTTTAAATACACTCGCTGTTAATGTCACAGTTACTAAGGTACTTAAGCTGATCCATGAAGTTTTCTGCATTTTTAAGCTAAGAAATTTAACTGCATATACTGGTATACATAATCTTTTGTCACACTCACACTTTTTGTATGCAATTTACAAAATTTTTGCAGCATTTTAACCATCAACCCTTAACATACACTTTTAAATTTTTAATTACCTCTATATGGTATACACTTTTTATGCGCACCTATACCTATTCAAATGTATGCTTATATTTATGTGTCTTTCCAAAATATATATTATTTCTGAGACTAGGATGATAGTCCTAACGGTATGCACTGCTTCACCAAAATGACAGATTCTATTTGGCGGATCAAAGCAAATAATACTTTTGTACTGTTACATCAGCTTTTTCTTGATAGAGATTGCTTGCCCTCAGAATTAGCAGAAATAACAAGGATTATTTGTGCCTCAGTCCGCTAAGTGTTTTATTATAGCTCTCACTTTCCAACATATGAAATTAGCTCTGTATTAATTTGTTTTGCAGCAAAAAGGTCCCAGATTTCCTTGGCATTTACAGGTTGGTTTGAGAAAGATAACTGCATAAAATCCTGGAAATCCTCTTCTTAGACAGTAATAAGATAAATGGAACAATTACGTATGTTCCACTTTTTCAGTGACATTTAGCAAATGAGTTTGTTGAAGATCAGTGGCTAGCACTGTACACCAAATCTACTGTTTACTTCAAAACATTTGTATTTATGTATTTAAATTTACCACTTTTAATGGGTACACACCCAATATGCTTTTTAGAAATTTTAAACAAAAATTTCATTTAAAAACAAAAAAATCAAATCAGTGTAGGTTGGAAACAACAATATTAAATGTTTTAAAAGTGATAAATCTTTAGTCCAAGATGAATATGTCTTAGAAGCCTACAGCTGTGTTTATGTAATACACTTAATCAACTTTTTTCTATGTGAGCTGCCAAGAGTCATTTTGACTGCAGTGGCACAGAAATAGGTTTAATAAATAAATAAAGTAAAAACAAACTTTATTTTTTGGCTTCATGAGACATACTGGATTTTAAGGCTGCCACATAGGCGGAATTCACAAAATACGCTACAGTACACTAAAATATAATTAACTAGCTTATGGCTCAGTGTGTTGTATAAACTCAAATAATTAAAAAGATAGTACTGAAAATATTATAGTTGATTTCAAGAGAGTGCCTTGAAGCAGAAGCAGGAACCAAACTAGGGCAGACTCTATCCATGGTTTGCCTCAGATGGAGGAGGGATCTGCACAAGGACCTTTGATGTTAAAGGGCAGATTGATTTGTGTGGTGGAGAGAAGGGGAAGGTGGGGAGAAGATGGTCTGGTCCTTTGACTTGGTCAAATATATTTATTTTATGTTTATAGTCCACTATTCTTCTAAGAATACAAAAAAGGAAACATGGAAAGAATCTTCCCTCATTTATCCTCAGCAAAAAATCAGAGTCTAGTAGCACCTTTTCTGATTTTTTTTTTTTAAAGCAAAAGCTTTTGTGAACTTTGCCTTTTAAGTGGCTCTTTTTCTACAATATCTTCTCCTCACAACAACTCTATGATGTAAGCTGGGCTGAAAAATACCAGCTAACCCAAAGTCACAAGAGCTCTGTGGTCAAGTAGGAGAAGATGTTTCAAACAGGATAGAACTAACTGGATGCTGTGTATTTGTTCAGGATCAGTAAGATATATTTGTTATACCCCATCCCAGTTAATAAACTAGTTTCTGAATGTTATAGTGTTCAATTTAATAGTAGTGTTTAATATTAAACTTTAAAATTATGATAGAAGACTCATTTGTATATTATATACCATGTTTTCTATTAATGAAGACTTTAATTTTGATTTTAAAATTCCTGACATTTTACAGTGGATTGTCCTTAAGCAATTTATTTACTATAACTGACAACCAATGTTTGCTGTGCACCTCAAAGAAAAATATTTTATGTGATGGAAGAGGAAGGAGTCTATTTTAGAAAAAACAGATAGGGTTTCTTGAAAAATAACTGCCTACCTTTAGCAGTAGATTTGCTCTTTGTTTTAGACTACGGTTTTTTAAACTGTGTTCCATGGAACCCTAGACTTCTGCAATGACTTGATGGGGTTCAGTGAGAAATTGTACAGGAAAACAGAGATAAAGTTGACAAAGGTATGCAAGAGCCATTAGCAGATAAAAGAGACGGTAAATAACATCTCAGCCCTGAGGAAGGAGGGAGTGTCAGAGAAAGACTCAAGAAAATCATGCCTTGATTCTGTATGCTATAGAGGGGACACAGGGAAACTCTGGCAGAATCCTTCAAGATTCTGTTGTTATATCCTACAACAATAAAATGGAGTTCCAATACAGTAGTCATTGTGGAGTCTATTTTCTGACCAGGCCTACCTCAATGGGATGACAGGAACTAGCTCTGGGAATAGATATGTTTTTAACTATCACATTGTTCAGCCTGAAAAATTTTGAAAACTCCTGTTTTAGACCTTTGCCCTGGATTCTGGCAGAATGAAATTTCAGCTCAGAGTGGAATTATACCTTCTTTTTTACAGGTTCCCTTTTATCACTTTGGAAGAAAAGGAATGGGAATGTTCCAAAAGGCAATGATGTAATGTTGGCCCTTATCAACATGATTGGTAGTAATAATATTCAAGTAGCAGATGGATTTCAGTGGTGGTGATATTCTGCTAAGTGTAAACAACGAGCATTGTGATACAGTACAGATGGAGCCCAGTAAAGTAGAATGCTGATGTGTGGGGTACTAGCAGTTTTCGTTATGGCTTTATGGTGTAATGTTTTTATTGTTCTTTTTTGAGCCATCCAGGATTATTGTACATAAGATGGGCAGCCATATAAGTCTTCTAAACAAATAAATAAATAAACATCCAATTATCTGTTTCCTTTATTAATATGCAGGGATTTATGCATCCTAAGACGCAAGTCTTTGTTGTACTTATTTACCGCCAAGCTTCCAGTAGACTGGAAGGAAATGAGCAAATATTAATATTTCTGATCTGTATGTACATAAGTTATAAAATTGTTAAGACAGCGGAGGTTCATTCTAAAAGCATTGCTGTGATAGAAGGCAGGGCAACTGTCTGAAATTCAAAATGTCACTTCATTATTTAATAAATTAAATTGCTGAATATGGCCAGAATAAGACCAGGAAAATATATTGCATACTATAGTACCAAAACAGTTATTCTGTTCTAGAATAACTTTTTCCTCCTAAGATATACACTGCAGTTCGGAGATTGGTGCTTTTACTAACAAGAATTCACAATAGAATATCAATGAACTCAAGTGAATGTACTAGTTCACTGAAGATATCTGAAGCCACATATTTTCTCTGAATTGAAGCAGAACACATTAAGTGCCATCATTCAATCAGGAGACACAATACAAAGTTTCTGGATAAAGTTAGTGTACAAAACAAACTGGAGTTTTTCAAGCTGCACAAAGGGAGGGGGTTGGGTTTTGGAGGGGAGGTGTACAATCACTGTACAGTTGCTGATGAAATGTTGCACATGGTCACATCTTCACCTGTTCCAGGATTTAGACTGTAATGATTGCTGGGGTACTGCATGTCACCAGAACTGCTACAATAAGTTGTTTATCACCAAGAAAATATATCCTTTCCCATCATATTTGTGATGGGAAATATTGTTGTATTGTGAAAGAAATATTGTCACAGGCACCTGCTGAACATGCTTTGCAAAAATGCCAATGTTTTAAAATAGGGGAGCCAATCTCACTCTGCTGAAGCATCACATAGAGGTATTGTGCTACAAGACCTAAATTTTGAATAAAATACAAGCTTTCTCCTTTTAAAAATATAGGATTTTAATTCATTGGGAATAGCCTTTTCCAAACAACATATTCAAACCTTTTGTAATAAAATATATGACAGTTTATAGGGGGGGTTTTCATAAAGTTCTGGACTAAATACCTAATTGTACACCTACCAATGCTGGCAAATTCCAATCCAGTCACTTGAAAAAATCCTTGCCTGTTATTGAGTCCAACACAAATGTCTGCAGTTGGTTTACAAACCATGCTACCCATAATGCTCTAGGCTGCTTATGGAGGTCATAACGTGCAGAGCAGTAATAGCCGATTAACAAAATTATATTGTTTTGGTGCGCTGAATAATAAACAGTAACGTATTTGGAGTATCGGGATACTACCTCCATTGTTTCATGTTCAGTCAGCATTTTAACAGAGGCCTGTTCCAGAAGGAATTAACAAGCCTCCATGCTGCAACAAGACATGTGCTTTTCAGATGACATCATCCTCCTCAGTGTCTGGGCAGTGACCTAGTCAGAGTGTTTGTAAATACAGAACAAGGCCCTGGGGGTGGGGTAAGCACATCAATTGCTTATCGAGAATAGAATAGTTAAATCAATGCACTGGAGTTTGCAGTTGTGAGGACACCTCTTTAAATTAGTAAATGTTTCAGAGAATAATAATAACAACGACC